TTTATGTTTATGCATCTTTTGGTGCATTACATTTGATAATATGACACCAAATATTAAAGATATGGACACAGTGACATTACTTTTGGATCAACCCTCGTAATATTAAACTTTAATTATACCACATAATTAATACTACTGTATTACCAGGGCAACCATTTAAGTTATTTACAGAATAATATTGCTCATACCTATTTACTTAAGGACATTTTTTCCCTTAAGTTGTTGATTGAGTTTGATCATTTTTCACCTACCATTAGTGAATACGAAGCATTTTCAGCATTTCAAATTTATTTCAAATGCACCCATGGTTACCACTTACTAAGAGATATGTTCTACACAGTTTCTTTATGGCATCTTATTTTGTTGGTTTTTTTTTTCAGTGAGTGGTTTGTTTTTACTTTAATTAAGGTTCAATAAAGATTAAAATAGCTGAAAATTTCAAATTTTCAATCTTTTCCGTCTGTAACCATGACAACCAAAACACACAGCAACCGAATTTTATTTGAAATAATCAATGTTCATATGAAGAAGAACTGGTTCAAAATTTTTCAAATGAAAAGAAGGAAACACCTGCTATGGCCTTCAACTCGACATTTAGATATATCGACGATGTATTGTTAATTAACAGTAGTTATTTCCATTCTTATGTCGACACGATATATCCCAGTGACCTTGAAAAAAAGATACCAGTAACCACGGAGTCTGACATATCTGTTTCATAGTTGGATCTATTCCTATAGTTAGAAAAAGACATTAATGGTTATCGAATAACAAAGCTTTATGATAACTTTTCAATTGTCAACTTCCCTTACTTATGCAGCAATATACCTTGCATATCTCTCAGTTAATTCGATACGAAAGAGCATGTTCTACATATGAACAATATCTGAAACGAGGTAAGTTATTGACAAACAAGTTAATGAAATAAGAATATCAGCAGTTTCGTTTAAAGTCATCATTTTGTAAGTTTTAACGTCGATTCAATGACCTTGTCAGCAAATAAAATTCATCATTAAGTCAAATGCTGACTGACTTTTTGCATACTAAATGTTAAATCATTATTTACACACTTAGTTGTCTACGAATTTTTCCGTTATTTCCCTACCCTGACAAGGAGCACAGGGCGGATGTGACCGGTCGGCAGGGGATGCTCGCTCCTCTGTGGCATCTGATCCCACCTTTAATGTTTAAGAGGTCCATGTTGCATAATATTTTTAAATCTTGAGCTCGAATTCTGTTCCTTATGTCCTCATACTAGTACATGTATTTCATTTGATATCAAGTACTTATAATGGGCAAAGTTTCATCAAAATTGTTGACAATGCATGGTTAAACAGTTTAAGTGGTTACAGAATGGCTATTGATATCCTGACACTATTGTCTCATTTACAATATGTGTTGTCAGCAGAATCATCAAATCATGCTTTAAAACACCCTTGAATAAGATGGCATGTCAAACATTGCTATATTTCAAATTTTAAATTTACGTTGTATATTTTTCAATTTGTTTATAATATTTATTTGTATTTTTATAATTTTCTATTTGCATTGTATACTAGTAATAAGTATTTGTATTCTATAACTGTCCTTTTTGCATTCTATAATTTTCCATTCGATTGGTATAAATGTAAAAAAAATAATATAAATTGTGTATTGTTTATGTTTATACTATATTTTCCATTTATTATGTATAATTGTTTTGTAAAATGTCATATTTTTATAATTTTATTTTTCTTGCCCATATGTTGGTGATCGGCATTTTTTTTTTATAAAAAAAAAGTGCTGTCAGCTTGCAAATAAAAAATATGCACTCAGAAATGTTGACTGAGAAGAAATTAAATAATTTGACCTTGGCTGAAAGGACCTAAACCATTTACCCCCACCCTCTATACCACCTCTATCGAAACTGAAGTTTCGGGCTTGAGCAAATTTTCTTTTCTCAGATTTCCTTTTCCATACATGTACATCAATGTACATCAGACTTGTGAATGCCTCTTCTGTTGCTTAAAACCGAGGTGGGAGGACTAACTTTTAAATGTTCCAAAGTCTTTCTGAACTATTTGTCTTGTTTTTTTTTTCTTGATAGCATTCAATCTGTCTACAAGCTCTTTAAACATAATTGGCTCCACTCTGAACATGTTTTTAATTGATAATTGTGCTCACTTTCAGTTTCTATCATTCTCTTCAAGATCCAAACTGAGTACATCTAGTGATTTATGGTCTTATCTAACATCTTCTTCTTCTTTGCTTTGTATGTGCACTTATGTAATAATTTGGAATCGTCTGGTCATTTCGTGCATTTCAATTCATGTTCCCCCAAATGCTGCAGAAGTTGCCTCCGGTCTGTGGATAGTACCAGGGATGCCCAGGATTACACAGCTTCAAATTATTGTGTAAGAATTTAAATCAACACATGTCTATCCTGTGTGCACGTACAAACTTATCACTATTGACAGGAATATCGTATATACATAGTACACACACACACACACACACACACACAAATTCAAAAGTTATTTTGAAAGTGTATCGTATCAAATCGTGTCTAATCTAACTTAACATATCTGTTCGAAGATAGTAATGTGTTCGTAATTACTTGATCTGCGCATTTCTTGTTTTAGACATAGTTGTGCAAAATATATACAAATTATTATTTGAACTAATAAGCAATTTTTTACGTGCAAGATGCAGTTCATTAAATCCACGAACGATGGCCAAAAAATTGTTCAGCTTTTACGGTCTTTTTTCTGCTACAAAGTAGTAGATTTTAATTAATATCAAGATCTTTTTTTTTGAAAAGGGGATCGATTCGAAACTGATAATTACTGTGAGCATTGAGCTCACTAAATGATACCCCCTCTTGAGGTCACCTCCCGTATGATTATTTAGGAAATATTCCATGTTTTGCTGAGACCCGAGATAAAAGTCGGATCAAAAAGTAAAATAGGAGGTCACAATGGCATTATGTAATAAAAATCTGTAAAAGTATCATTATCAATTTTTATTAAGTGATATACTAGTTTAGGAGAATTTGCGGGTAAGAGATGGGTACCCTTCAAGAATGACAGTGTCACTATTTTGCTATGGGAAACCCGAAATACTTGTCCGATCAAAAAGTAACATAGAATGTGCATAATGGCAATGTGTAACAAAAATTCTTTGCAAGTTTCATTAAATTTAAACCAGTCGCAAACGAGAAGTTGCGGATAAGAGATAGGTACCCCAAAGCGGAACAGACAGAGGGAAGGACGAACATCCCGATTACTATATACTCTCCCACTTTTCAAGCGTGGAAATACGGTATATATATATAATTATTACTTTTCAACACATTATAAAACCATTCCCCGCGATAAATTGTAGTCCAGGCTGATAGACGTCATAGACAGCTGCTTTTTCGATTAAAATGAAACTCGTAAATTTATAAATTACTTTCCTTGTTATCGGTCGTTTTCAATATAGTTTTGTAGAAAACATTCTGATTGCACTTATAAGTAATCTGAAGTTGATATTAAAAAACTTCATTTTCTGATTGACAATAAACATATATCTTCCAAAAACTTTCTTATGGTACCCATTTCGCCACATCATTTGCAGACTTTTTTTTATTCATATGAAGCAAAATTTATTCAACAACACAAACCTGAGAAGTAGTAAGAGATCGACGTTTGATAATAGATATGATCACTTAAATATTTCTATATTGTCAGCTTCTCTTACTTATGTAATAACAAACTCTTATCAGGCGTATCCCGCAGTCTATTCCTTAAGCAAAAGCATGCTCTATATATATATGCACAATTTTTAAATTGAGACAAGCTATTGACAAACACGCCGATGAAACAATAATATCAACCATCTCGTTTAAAGTTATCATTTTGCAACATCTATGGTTGATACAATGACCTTGTCAGCAAAAACTGTCTGCATGTATTATAAGTCGAATGCTAACTGACGTTTTCCAAAATAATTGTGAAGTTATTATTTACACTTTGAAGTTTATTTCCCCGTTTTCCTTGATCATGACAAGCACACGGCAAGGAGATACTCATTCCTTCATGACGCCTGATTCTACTCCAGTGTTTTGGAGGTATGTGTTTAGTCTGCACAGTTTTGTATTGTCCCACTAGACTTTGAGCTTGATTGCTGTTTGTTTACACCAAGTTTGATTCTAAATTTTAAGAATTTTTCTACACGCCAAAACATCTTGATTGAATATGAATGTCTTGGTTTCATATGAAAAATATCAGAAAGTAGTTAATAGGAGGGTACATTTAGAAATAAAAATCATAAAACTAAGTAGGACAGACAGACGGGACGATATATAGAGGAACCGGTTGTGTTCGACAATTTTACCGTTAAAGAACTGATTGAAAAGCAGCAATTTTTGGAAAAAAATTCAAATTATTGGGAGGATATTTTTCTGACATCCTTATAAAGAAGCTAGAATACAGCGTTTTAAAGAGGAAAATTTATAAACTTAATTCTTTGTGCTCTTTTTTATTGCTTCACTTAGCAATTCGAATTATGGTTCATCTCCATCGGTATTATAAATTAAAATAATATTTGAGCCCTTCGCATTTGTTCTTAATATTTAAAAAAAAATTGTTGTTTTACTTTTTCAATCAAGTGTATTTTGAACAAATTATTAAGGATTTTTGGTGAGTAAGGGTTATGGGACATTTGCCGATGTATACATAGCTACGGCCATATGTTTCATTAAAATCAATACGAACACAAAACAAACAGTAAATTGCATTGCTGCTATGGTTACATGTAGGCGGATCAAAGTACCACATTCTGGGGCAAATTCGGTCTCAGAAAAACAAAAATAAATATTCGGTCGGCCTAGCAGCGAACCGAAATAAAACGATGCGTCATGTAATCTGTTACACTTGTTTAAATAATATGATACATTGTTAGTGCGGATATAGTTTTATAGTTGTCTTGTTGCCAGTGTGAATATTATGAATGTGCAAAACATAGAGAACTGCTTAAACTAAGTTTGCTTTTCATCATTTATTCAACATGTTCAAACTATACATATTAAAATAGAACTTTTGAATCCAGAGTCAAACACACCCGTTTAACGACACCTGGAAACCAATACTTGACAATAAACAGATAAAATATGAAAGACAATCATCAGCTGCATCAGCAGTCAAAATATCACGTATACATCTTCAGATCTCTCTCCAAATCCATCTTAAAACATTAAAACTTGTTTCCTCATCTCCAATTTTTCTCAAAATCACTCCGTGTAAATGTTGGAACCAACTTCCAGCCCATAACAACTGTAATCTGAATAATAGTACATGGTCTTTATCCAAGACCCAAAAACCAATCAGCGATATATATTTTTCTTAAATTCCATTTTAGATTGGTATCACTCGTAGCTCATTCAAGAAAACTTTTCTTTTTTTTGTGAATTGCAGAGTAAACTTTCATTGATTATGATTGCTGAAGTGTCATTTAGTACAGCGCCGTATCATCAAATGTGTAGGCATGTTTAATACAGATGTTACAGAGCGGCAGATTGCAAGAAAATGTATAGATTGCAAATTTGAATACTTTTTGGGATTGTTTCATGGTAATTGTGGATGATCAATCCAATTTGAAGAATCCTGATTTCGTGGGACTTTCAACAATCGTGATAGTGGTGGAGTTACACGTGACGTCAGTGACCAACAAACTGTCCAGTTCGTTATGCTCCCTTTGCGGGGGCAGAAAATCTCGGTCGTCATCATTGTCCATGTCAAAACTTGTGCACGTGCAAGACGACTCGGCACAGTATGACTCTGTATCTTCCGATAAACATCGAGGAGAAAAAGGTGCAGAAGTTTGTTCATTTTCACAACTATTATCCGTCATGTCCACAGAGGTCTCGTGCTGTGCACGCGTTCCCTTCATCCAATCAAAACACTTCTGGTCGTTTTCTGTCATTTGCGCACAACAGCAGTCCGACGACGAATTCTCCGTGTTATTGTTATTCTCACGAACCCAGTCTACTTTCGCACACTCCAAAAGCGTGTTTGTCTTGTCATTGAGGTCGGATTCATTGTCAAATTGTCCACGACCCGTTTCAGAGGGCAACAATAGCCCTCCCCGGGTACCATCTGTCTGTTCCAGTGAATTGATATACTCGGCCGCCTCCGCCAGTGCTCCGATGCCATTGTCGTACATTCGCGGACGACACACGGTTCGCGTCCTTCCTTTGTCCTGCTTCCTTTTTTCTTTGTTGTCATGGAGATCATAAATGCCATACGGACGAAAGTTCTCCACCTGCAAATTTGAGAACAAAAAACAGCTCGGTGAATAAGTTAATGCAAATTACAACGCAATGGACCGTATGTTTTAAAGCAAACTCCCAACTCCTTTTATGGTTTGAATCTGTGCTCATTTTAATGAAAGATTTTTTTGTAGAAGGCAAGCTGTTTCAAATTCACCAGCCTTTCATGACCTTTTCACAAAAAAATAATTATATATTTAAATATTGGTAACATACCTCACTTTTCCTCCGTCTGCCAACTCTTTTTGTATTTGGTCTGAACAAAAGGAAATAAGAGAGAATAAATAAATATCAGAATTACGTTTAAAAAGTATTACACGTGAAATGGCTAATTAAATTTAAATATACATTTTTTTTTATCTCTTTATTGATAAAGGTTCTAAATGCTACTTCAAATCGATCTTTAACTTCCTTCACGAAACCTTTATCATTATATCTCGGATAATGCATATATTGGGCGATTAAAAAGATACTCAGGTTTCAATTATTGGCTTTTTTAATGCTACCATGACGTGTTAAACTACTTTATCGCCTACTCGCAGTGTACTAAACATATAAACTAAAAACTCTCGTTTCCTCTTGTCTGTGAAATATTTTAATTTCAGTTTCGCTTTTGATGAATTTTCTGTGATTGTACTTTTTATTTATCATGTATAAAATCTGTATAGTTTCATAATTATGAACCTATTTTTCAGATCATCTTTCGCAGGTCTTATTTTTAAACCCTTAAAATTCCCAGTATTTTTAAAGTTATTTATATGTTGAGGGTGCAATTATGTAGGAATTCTAAGAATTAAATGCTTGATACGGAGTGACAAAATAAAAGGTGATTTCGAATAAAAGGCGGCATGACATATCCACGCGGAAACGCGTGTAAATTTTTGGCTTCGATCGTGGCCAAATTTAACTGAATGTGCACACGTAATTTCCTCGCTTATCAAATTAAACTTGTGTCTGTGTTTTAACACCCACAGAGGGATTTTTTCTTTACATTGGTTTGGAAATCACGACTCGAAGAGTACACGTATCCTTAAACCTTTTGTGAAATCATTGACAGAAAAGTCTGTATAAATAGACGTGTCCAACAGTGATGTAATATATATATATACATGTATATACTTTTACATATGGTACAGGATCGTCTCAATTTTCCTTCTGTGTTAGACTTGTGAAGTACATGCAGTTGAACAACAGTACCATGAAAATTGGGATTGTTCTTAAGAAAAAAAAATATCGGTCAAGTTTTTTTTCGGGACAATGTTACGTACACATACATTGTACTTATATATCATATCGTTTTTATATGGATACATACATGTAGCTATCCTTATGAAAAATTGTAAACTAGAATGCACAGCAATGATTTGACGAACGAATATCCTTATATTCTGGTACAAAGAGTGCACAAATTTCACTTTTAAACTGTAATGAAACATTCATGAAAAGCACTATTACTCAAGCGCATTTATCTTACAAACGATAAAACAGATATCGTTTATAAGCCCTGTTATAGCGACAACGTACTACTGGAACTCCCCAAGGCTAAGTAGTGAGATCGATTATTTTACTGATGTGTTTCCTTCACTGTCATCCAATGTGGGTATACATTTTGTTGTTGTCAAATATGAGAATTACACACATATTCACGTGTACTTGTACTTGGTCCTTCGAGAAAATTCATACCAAGTGAAATTTTTCCAAATAACACCTACACAGCTTATATTCAATGTATATTAATGTTGAATCGGAGATGACATCAAAATGAACAAACAATTTCAATTTTGATTGATAATTTTTCATCATCGTAACACCCAAAGTCTAATGTCTGAATTTTAATATATAACGTAAGACTATAGAATAAATTAGATTCATGCAATTAAAAAAACCTTTGTTTAATCAAACATACCTTGAATTGAAGTCAAAGAGGAGATAGGGGTCAAGGATGTTTTCTTCAGGTTCCCAGGTGCACTGCCTACAAGAAGAGTACAGGTGAACTAAAATTGACACACTGACAAGCAGTATAAATAGATTGATGACGCCATTGACCACGTCTGATGCAATTGACAATACGTTACTTAAATATCTTGATGATTTTAATATCATTGACGTTTATAATATGAAACTTTCTGTTTCTAGTCAATGACAATTGATGTATTGTATCTGTCGTTACAATGACATTTGTCCATACTCATGTTTTGCAGTTCTTGCATGTTGGGCGTAAAAACAAGTAGTAAATTCGATTGCAAGGTACGGGGGATTGAAATTCCAAAAGTATGAAATATTTACAATTCCCTTCACAGGGCATTCAAGTATTTTTCAATTTTTATTTTCATTTTATGACTTTAAGAGCGTGCAAAAATTATATTTATCTGTAATTTCTATGTCATAAAATGGTGATCTGGAGATAAGAATACGGAAGTCTAGTTGATTAAATATTTGTTTGGTTAAAAAAGAACACGATCTATACATTTAAATTCTTTGCATCAGCAAAGAGGGGGTTTAAAAGAAAAAAACACAAGGAAGTCTTAAAAAAGGGTAAATTTTTGGTAAGAAATATAAATCAGTTACATGTAATTTTCTTCCTTGTTTAGAAAGTTGAACAATATAAAATGCAACATCCTGAATCTTTGAGTAGTATACCCAACAAATCTACATTAAGGGGACGAACGTCGACAAACAAAATCTTAAAGCTACTAAAGTCCATCAGCTTTAAATTGCAAATAAATTTCTTCTGTCAGGGAAAACATCTTGCTACATATAGTTGATAGTAAACAACCAATCACCTTGAACTTTTTATTGATTGGGGTTATGGGAAGGGAAATTATTTAGAAAATTACAAATCGAATTTGTTTTACTTACTTTGTCGGGTATCCTTTCCATTTGACAAGATACTGAAGTTTGCCCTGTTGTGCAAAAATAAAATGAAACTTTATATAATGTTATATATTAATCGATGTCGATCAATATGGATGAAGCGCATAAACTTGTTGAAAACATACTTTTTTTTAAAATGTCATGCAAAATTACAACGCACATTTTAAAATTAACCATTCATAAATTCCATTTTCGAGTTAACTTACCTTTCGAATTCGTTTCTTTTTAATATAATCAGCTCTAAAGATCCGTTCGCCGGTTAAAAAGCTCGTCTCCATTGCACTGCGTTTCTCGTAACAGCCAAGCTGTGTTTACTTCTAGCGAGGTAAACACGTTTAATGCGCAGACTTGAAATATACGACCTTTGGCGTCAAGGGTCACCAAGCGAAAGGAAAAAATACGTCATTCACTTCGCATTACAGTCATGTTATGAAGGTTAGATATAATAAAGGCGAATTTATACGAGCCAGTCATGAGTATTTTAAATCTTGCAATCTGACTGGTGTATATGTAAACACATACTGGGTCTTAGAATAGATATGTGGTAATTCATAAATCTAAAAATAGATGTAAATCGAAGGGGTAGATCTTTCGCAATATTTTGACTCAGCATATTCATGATTCTTGTAAATTGCTAATTGGAATAGAACCATGACAAATTACTAAAATTATACACGATCAAATAAGATTAATGGTTAATGAACAAAAATGGATGAATAATTTCTGAAAAACTCGGAAAAAAAAAAAAAACATTCAAGTTTAGGGAAAAATTATCCCCGGCGAATTGCATTTTCCTGAATATCACGTTGTTTGTGTCCGTTACCAATGATTTGTCATTAAAACCAAAACATTGAATCAATCGAAAATTCCAGAATGGTCTTATACTCAGCAAAAAGACCAGGACAAATCTTTCATAATTTATTGACTAATGATAAAGGAGCAAGTTCTAGAATCTAACAGTACATGGAGAGACCTATTTTTGTAACATCGTTCTGAAATACACGGGTTCACTGTAAAAAATTACTTAGTATTCAACACTGTACATTATTAAGTTGTAGAATTTATACAGTATTAAAGATATGTGTTCACAAAATTGATTGTAAAGTAATGATCTTCATGATATTCTTGTTTGAAAGAAAAAAAAACTATCTGACGAACAAGATAAAAAAGACCATTTATATTTGTGAACATATGGATGAACATGGTCGAATTAATTGTGATGTAATTTTTCTTTTCAATTTTTTACTTAAAACAAAAACAACAAACAAACAAAACTGGAAAAACAAAATAAAACCGTTTATTTGCGGATGCACTAACACGTGAGATTCATCAATTTCATTTTATTCAATTTTTAAGAATACTGCAAAAACCAGCTTATTAAAACATCGAGGAAACATATTTACTCTTTGGATTTACACCTATTAGTATAATTTTCATGATGTATATTCCCCAAAAACTCAGTATTTTCCTTCTTCGAACACCAAAAACTATTGTTGTGGATAAAAAAGCATACGTGCATCATAAATTGCATATATCATTCCATGCACGTAACTGATTGCACCCTTTTAAATTGCAAAATAAAGAGAAGAGAAAACCTATTTTCACTGGAGACTCTCGTTTTCATTTCCCCCACATTACTGTTTTTTTTTCTCCAAACAAGAATTACTCTTGTTATTTTTTTTTAAAATGTATTACGTCGAAACGTAAATTAAGTGAAACGAAATGTAATATTTTTTAACATCACATGCAAAATCCTTGTTTTCTTTTTAAACATAAATATTTGCTAAGATTTTGGGAGATTGCTTGCATAATAGTAAAAATATTGTATTTTCTTTTTGAACTAACTGATAATAATTTTTAATTCACAACTATAAATTTAATAAAAATATTTTCCCCAGTTAATCATAACTGAGTAGGAGGGGGAATTTTTTTGTGACTTTGATCGATATTCCTTTAATAATAGTTATATTTTTGTCTATAAATCATTTCCTTATAAACTTTTGAAAAATATTATTATTTATAAATATTTGAATTTGAAAATTAAACGTTGATATGCTGTTCATGTTAATGATCTAAATTATATTCCGTTTTATTGAGTGTGTTTTATTGAAGTCATTTATAAGATTTATATACAAAATGCCAAGCCTGCTTATATAGTCAGTAGGAAAATCTTTAACTTTACCTAGCTACTTATGATTTATAATCGTCAGTCAAACTGAGTTATGTAAGTCATATCTAATCAGAAGAAACATTTATTGTTTTATTTGATTCAGATAAATAAACATGAAAAATATATTGAAGTCAAAACAAAACAATTTTTTCTTGCATTTGATAAAAAAACAAAACGTTTCCATATATATATATATATATAATATATATATATATATATATATATATATATATATATATATATATATATATATATATATATATATATATATATATATATATATATATATACAGTTATTTAACATATAGCATATATCATTAAGCTCCATTGTCATAAAGAACAATATTTTTATTTTTTTCTTATTGTAAGTTGCTCTAAAAGCTGAATACAGCGCTGACCACAGAATACTTCAGTGCCCCACTCCCGCATATTCTCACACTTTTACTTAAAACAAAAATACCAGAGAGTCGGACACATCTGTTTAATATATCCGATCGTCAGGTTCTTAAAATCAGGTTTTGAATTATTGAAAATACTAACAAATGTATGTCTGAATTCTCAAAATAATGTGATTTTATACACGGAAATTGTTAAAACATCATAAATGGCCCTTACCTCGGTTTGGCAAATTTAAAAAGGGCGAATTCAAACAAAACTGTAACTGAGCGAATTTAAAACGAGACAAAATTGTTTGCTAGTGTGAAAGGGCAAAAATAACCTTGAATACAGTAAGTAACTTTAAAGAATTGTTTGCAAGTGTGAAAGAGCAAAAATAACCTTGTATAAAGTTAGTAACTTTCAAATTTATTTTCACGAAATGCGAATAAAAACACCTACCATGTAGTATTTGATTGAAAATTGATCAACAAATATATTTAAGATTTAAAAAAAAAAACTATGGGTATCCAGGCATTTGAAGAAAATTGATGATTTTATATTCAAACAGTACTTTCTTTCTTCCATTTGCTTAAGTTATTTTACATTGCATGGTGTATTAGCGGTTTCCTATTACTGAAAAACACCATAAATCATTTTTAATTTCATTATATGCCAATGAACACTGGTATGTAAGGTAAGATTAAAAAAAAACTAAATTTTCTTGAATATGTTGTTTGATATATACTTTTATGAGGTACAATTAGCAACATTGAGTCCAATGCTGACTGACGTTTTTGTAAGTCCATTATTTAAACATCGAATTGACGACGGGTTTTCCTTTACTTCCCGATCAAGACAAGGCGCACACGGCGGGTGTGACCGGTCGGCAGGGGATGCTCACTCCTCCATGGCACCTGATCCAGCTCTGATGTTTCGGAGGTCCGTGTTTGCTCTGCTCCTATTTTGTATTGTTTATCGAATTTTTTAGTTTGAGTGTTGTTCGTTATCTCCATATATTTCATTAAAAACAGTATTTAAGATTTCAAAATACCATAAATCCCATTGAGATGCATAAAATGAAAATTGTTGCATGAAAAAATTTCAATTCAAAGTTTCATTTTGACACTTTTTGAAATAAAATAATAAATTGAAGAAGTTGTCTTTCCTGGCTGAGGATTGGATTTCCTTAAATTAGAACAATAGCTAGTTACAAAACTTTACGGTAAACTTGATGACTTCATTTTTTATTATCGTCAACCTTCCTTATTTGTGTAGTAAAATACATTTATTATCTGCATGTGGTAATTATGTCCCTAGTTGATTAAATATGCAAGAGCATACTCTACGTATGAACAATGTCTAAAATGGAACAAAATATCGTCAGATATAACCGGCCTCGGTACAAGTCATCATTTCGATTATTTGTCATGCAGCAATTAAAATTGTTCGTTAAGTCGTATGCTGACTAATGTTTTCATGCCTTTTTTTTAGTTCATTACCTATTGAATGGTCTGTAGATTTTTGTCATTCCATGATCATGAAAAAGAGTACACGGCGAGTGAAACCAATCAAGAGGGGCACATAATCCTACCTCTTATGTTTTGCAGGTCCATGTTAGCTCTTCTTCCGATTGTATTAATCTAAGGGACCTTTTGAGTTTGAATACTGTACGTTGTCTACATATTCCTTGCTTTATTTGCATGAGCAATACAACGTACTTCATTAAAATTGTACTAGCTTTTGGGGTAGATAAAGATTTTACAGGGATGATGAATATTTCTCATCCATTACAAATTCAACCCCATAAAATCAACTTACAACTAATTTTGGTTAATAGTCTTCTGCCAAAATCTTTATTGTTCTATTTGAATAACATTTTCATTTATAAACTAGGGAGTGATTATTTTAATTTTATTTGTTTAAGTATTTATCTGTTCACTGTTCAATATTTTATTTTAAGAACTTAATTAGTAAAAAGCACACCCTTTTCTTTATTTCACCTGTATCAGCCCATGACCAATATCACCATCAAGCCTATCTTGGACTGAAAACGTGATATCGAAAAGGGTATGTGTTATTCTATATGTATTCTTATTAAGTATTTGTGTTTATAAATTGTACAGATTCGTACATCTCAAAATAGAGTTATTCAATCTCATTTTACTCCTTATGACAATCCATGAGCTCTTTGATTGCTTCATCTTTATACTAGTAGTGAGGAAAATTCATAAGTGCAATGTTAGAAGAAAGTCTTCTTCAATTTTACACACACTCATTATAATTGAATTCATTTTTTTTCTTTAAAAAACTGTTTTCTATAATATTAATATTATTTTAGATTTACTACATTTTTGTAGCTGTAAGTAGATTCAAAATAACAATTAATAGATCATTAATATGCATTTTCCATTTACTTCTGTCCATTTAGTTAATCCAAAATTTACAACATCATAAAAATGCTTAGAAAAGAAAGTCTGGTTTCAATCTCAATACGAAATAGGTCATCTGGAACATTTTAGTATGAAAGTTCTTATTTTATGAGTTTCAAAACTGTCATAGACTGATTGATAGCATGCTGAAAAGCTCCTTATAGAGTACAAAATATTTCCTGGCATGATTTTGTGGTTCTTGATGCAAGGTCGCGATCCCTTCTCGTTAACTCTATTTTGATGTGCTAACAACGCGATTTTCAACACTGTGGTTTTCATGAAATGCTAAAACACATCCTGGTTTCTCTGTGAACCGTGACAATTCATCTAAATTTAAAAGTGTTTAATATATTCATCACCATTATTGTCTTAATTTTGAAATAATAAAACTGCCATCTTTTTTCTTTTGCAATGCATTTGTCACATAGAATATTGAATTTTTTAAAGTTATGTGCCT